AGGAGGATAACCCACACACACACACAGGAGGATAACCCACACACACACACAGGAGGATAACCCACACACACACACAGGAGGATAACCCACATACACACAGGAGGATAACCCACACACACACACACAGGAGGATAACCCCACACACACACACAGGAGGATAACCCACACACACACACACACACACACACACACACACACAGGAGGATAACCCCCCCACACACACAGGAGGATAACCCACACACACACACAGGAGGATAACCCACACACACACACAGGAGGATAACCCACACACACACAGGAGGATAACCCACACACACACACACAGGAGGATAACCCACACACACACACAGGAGGATAACCCACACACACACACACAGGAGGATAACCCACACACACAGGAGGATAACCCACACACACAGGAGGATAACCCACACACACACACAGGAGGATAACCCACACACACACACAGGAGGATAACCCACATACACACAGGAGGATAACCCACACACAGACACAGGAGGATAACCCACACACACACACAGGAGGATAACCCACACACACACACAGGAGGATAACCCACACACACAGGAGGATAACCCACACACACACACAGGAGGATAACCCACACACACACACACACAGGAGGATAACCCACACACACACACAGGAGGATAACCCACACACACACACACACAGGAGGATAACCCACACACACACACAGGAGGATAACCCACACACACACACACACAGGAGGATAACCCACACACACACACACACAGGAGGATAACCCACACACACACACAGGAGGATAACCCACACACACACACAGAAGGATAACCCACACACACACACAGAAGGATAACACACACACACACACAGGAGGATAACCCACACACACACACAGGAGGATAACCCACACACAGGAGGATAACCCACACACACACACACACACACACAGGAGGATAACCCACACACACACAGGAGGATAACCACACACACACACACAGGAGGATAACCCACACACACACAGGAGGATAACCCACACACACACACACACACACACACACAGGAGGATAACCCACACACACACACACACACACACACAGGAGGATAACCCACACACACACACACACACACACACAGGAGGATAACCCACACACACACACAGGAGGATAACCACACACACACACAGGAGGATAACACACACACACACACAGGAGGATAACCCACACACACACACACAGGAGGATAACCCACACACACACAGGAGGATAACCCCACACACACACACAGGAGGATAACCCCCCACACACAGGAGGATAACCCACACACACAGGAGGATAACCCACACACACACAGGAGGATAACCCACACACACACACAGGAGGATAACCCACACACACACAGGAGGATAACCCACACACACACACACACACACACACACAGGAGGATAACCCACACACACACACAGGAGGATAACCCACACACACACACAGGAGGATAACCCCACACACACACACAGGAGGATAACCCACACACACACACAGGAGGATAACCCACACACACAGGAGGATAACCCACACACACACAGGAGGATAACCCACACACACACAGGAGGATAACCCACACACACACACACACACACACACACAGGAGGATAACCCACACACACACAGGAGGATAACCCACACACACACACAGGAGGATAACCCACACACACACACACACACAGGAGGATAACCCACACACACACACACACACACACACACACAGGAGGATAACCCACACACACACAGGAGGATAACCCACACACACACACACAGGAGGATAACCCACACACACACACACACACACAGGAGGATAACCCACACACACACACACACACACAGGAGGATAACCCACACACACACAGGAGGATAACCCACACACACACACAGGAGGATAACCCACACACACACACACACACACACACACACACAGGAGGATAACCCACACACACACACAGGAGGATAACCCACACACACACAGGAGGATAACCCACACACACACACAGGAGGATAACCCCACACACACAGGAGGATAACACACACACACACACAGGAGGATAACCCACACACACACACAGGAGGATAACCCACACACAGACACACAGGAGGATAACCCACACACACACACAGGAGGATAACCCACACACACACACAGGAGGATAACCCACACACACACACAGGAGGATAACCCACACACACACACAGGAGGATAACCCACACACACACACAGGAGGATAACCCACACACACACACAGGAGGATAACCCACACACACACAGGAGGATAACCCACACACACACACACACACAGGAGGATAACCCACACACACACACACACACAGGAGGATAACCCACATACACACAGGAGGATAACCCCCCCAGGATTTTTCGGCCCCCCAGGGGTAGAAAGACTGTTGCAGAAGGCCCTGATTAGACCTGGCAGCACCCTGTCCCATCCTTGACTGACTCTATCAAAGGTCTAGCCTGGGTTTCCTAATCTGAGAAATAGAGACATTTGCATAAGCTCCCCAGAGAGCGGCAGGGTCCCCAGGGTCGCCAGGGTCCCCAGGGCTGCGGGAGGTAAACCTGTGTGAGCATGCGCGACCCGTTCCCCCGGGCCGGGCCGCTGGGGGTCCCTAGAGGGAGTGCCTGTGCCGGGGTGGGGTGAGGAGGGGAGGATCTGCTCAGGATGAGGGACCTGCCGGCCCGCTGCTCCCTGAGATTCCAGAGGAATGATTTAAAACCTCCTCAGCGCTGGACCCCAGGCCTCTGGCTTCAGCAGGAAATGCCCAAGCCCTGGCCACGCCCCCAGCCCTTACTGGGGGATTCTGGGCGGGGCTCCACCCCTGACCACGCCCCCAGCCCCTCACTGGGGATTCTGGGCGGGGCTCCACCCTGACCACGCCCCCAGCCCCTCTCTGGGGCATTCTAGGCGGGGCCCACCCTGACCACGCCCCCAGCCCCTCACTGGGGGGATTCTGGGCGGGGCTCCACCCTGACCACACCCCCAGCCCCTCACTGGGGATTCTAGGCGGGGCTCCACCCTGACCACGCCCCCAGCCCCTCACTGGGGATTCTGGGCGGGGCTCCACCCTGACCACACCCCCAGCCCCTCACTGGGAATTCTGGGCGGGGCTCCACCCTGGCCACGCCCCCAGCCCCTCCCTGGGGTTCTCACGGGCTCTAGGACATTGCAGAAACACAGAGATAAAGACCCAGGGCACCAACCGGGTCTCTTGGACCCGAGGGAAGGACAGGGAACTTATTTACAGTGCCGCAGTTGGTGTGGCACTTGGCCGTGTCCGGCCTCACAGCGTTACACACGGGGGTGCCCAGGCCTGTGCTTGCCCCTCCAGCCCCCGTGGAGGTGACCGTTTCCCAGGCGCTGGTGAGTCGTCCCGCCTCACACAGCCCTGAGAGTGTGACTTCCGGCAAACTGTTCCCTCCAGACCCAGCAGCCACTTCCTGTGCCCGCACCGGAGTCTGGCAGACGGACAGGTGGACAATGGGCCCCACGATCTCAGGTGCCCTCAGGGGCGCTGGCTGCCGAGCCCAGCGAGGGCTGGAGGTCAGTCCGGGGACCCACATGGTGGCGGGAGAGAGCACTGGGGAGGCAGAGGCAGGAGGATCTCGGAGTTTGAGGCCAGCCTGGGCTACAGAGCGAGTTCCAGGACAGCCAGAGAAACCCTGCATCAGAAAAACAAAACAACAACCACAAAAAACCCGTTATTTTAAAACGCACAAAAAACCTTCAGCCCCTTTCAACTAAATCCCCCCCTGAACTAAGGCATCCCGAATCCAGGCGACCTTCTCCTCCAGCTCCTGCGTGAACAGGGGAGGTGAGGAGCCAGCGCCAGGAGGCCGCGAGTTCGGGGTGACTGCGGGAAGGTAGCCCGGCCCCCGCGGCCCCCGCGGCCCCCGCGGCCCCTTTGTATTAGCCTGCGAATAGTCGGCTTTAACCAGCGAGTTCAAGCTGGTTTGAATCAAGTTTTTAATTAAAAATAGACCATGATCAATACCCTAGGCTGTGCTGGAGGGGGAGGGGCGGGGCTGGGCCCGGAGCGGGCAGAGGGGGGGTGACTGAGAGGTCCATGTGACCCTCAGGCAGCTCTAAGACACCTGCGGCCTCAGTTTCCCCTTGGCCAAGTGACCCGGACCCTCCCTTCTCTGGGAGTCACGCCAGTGGGGACAGGAGGGACTGAACAGAATTATGGTGACATTGAAAAGCCACGGGGCGGAAGAGGACCGGGCTGGGCCTTCTAAGGAGGCCGCAGGGGGTCCCTGGGGTATGGACGCCTGTGCTGGGACCTCAGGGAGAGAGGCCCGGGGACACTGCACTGTTGGGGCACAGGATTGCTCGGTTTGAGTGCCCAGGCTGCCAGTGGGCCATCCACGTACCGGTTCACACCCAGACGCCCCATTCTGAGCCGGTGCTCCCCACTCTGAGCCGGTGCTCCCCCACTCTGAGCCGGTGCTCCCCACTCTTAGCCGGGACTCCCCCACTCTGAGCCGGTGCTCTCCCACTCTGAGTCGGTGCTCCCCCACTCTGAGCCGGTGCTCCCCCACTCTGAGCCGGTGCTCCCCCACTCTGAGCCGGTGCTCCCCACTCTGACCCGGTGCTCCCCACTCTGAGCCGGTGCTCTCCCACTCTGAGTCGGTGCTCCCCCACTCTGAGCCGGTGCTCACTCACTCTGAGCCGGTGCCCCCACTCTGAGTCGGTGCTCCCCCACTCTGAGCCGGTGCTCACCCACTCTGAGCCGGTGCCCCCACTCTGAGCCGGTGCCCCCACTCTGAGCCGGTGCTCCCCACTCTGAGCCGGTGCTCCCCCACTCTGACTTGTTTTTGCGTCGGGGTCTGGTCAGCCCGAGCTGGTTCAGCACCTGCCCTCCCCGTGCGCAGCGTGGGTGGAGACGCTCTGAAGGCCTGGGCAGGGCCCGAGGGGGTGCTCCCCCGGCTGCCCGCTGGTCCTCAGCACCCGCGGCCTCCCCGCCGCTGGCTCCCGCCCTGCCCACGCTCAGATGTTTGGGGACTGTGGTCCCCCTGGGGTGGCAGGACGCACTTCCGGGGACGCGGAGCCCTTATCAGCGGATTAATTCGCTAACAATGGATCGCTCCCTCGCGGCCCGTCCTCCGTCAGCCGCCCTCCGCTTCCCCGTCACCCGTTTCCTTTCTTGCCATCTTTTTCTAATTCTTCTCCCAGCTGCCGCCCGGCCTCTTGCAAATGGCTCTTTAAACGTGGAGGCCCAGCCTGGCGCGGTGGCACCCGCCCGTCAGCTCGGCCCTTGGGGCGCCGGGGCCGGAGGATGGCCGGGAGTTCTAGGCCAGCTTGGGCTGCAGGAGTGAGAACTTACATCCAAGGAGGGAGAGAGGGGCGAGTCGTGGTGGGGAGCCCGCCGAGGACGCTGGGGTTCGGGTGACCCTTGGCTAGGCAGAAGAAGCGCCCCGGGCTGCGTGTGCGCACAAGGTACATGTGTGTCAGTTCGTGAGCGGTCTGCCCTTGGCTAACTCGGGGTACCCCCGTGACGAAGCCGTCAATGGGAAAGGCCCCTGGCGGCCGGCGTCCACACCCTGTGACCCTCCAGCTCCGGGCCAGGCCCGGTGGGTGTGGACGGTCGGTTCCAGATAAGACTTTGAAAAATGGAGACATTAAAACCCTCTGGGAGGGAGGGACTGGGGGAGGGCAGGGAGGGGAGGGGGTGGGACCGATCTGTGCAGGCACCGAGGAGGTGCCCCAGGGGACCTGGGCAGCGGGGAGAGGGGGTCCTCCCGACCAGGGCACCTGGGGACGTGTGACCCTGGCAGAGTCGCCCACCCGGCCCGGCCAAGCTGAGTCACCGCGACGGGGAGGGATCGTGGGCCCCAACACCTGCCCCCACCGCGCCGCTGATGGCGGGGCAGGACTTGTCGCCAAGGAAACCGGCCATCATCCCAGCCGGAGCCCAGGCTGGTATTGAATTGTCGGCCGCAGGAGTGAGTGGCGGAGTGTGGGGAGGGGACAGGCGCCCGTGGCCGCCACCCACCGCCTCGGTGGACAGATGGGGGGCAGCCACGCGGGGAGAGAGGGGGTGGCCGGCGTGACTGGGCTCCTGCGGGCGCCTGGGAAGGGACGGCTGGATGCCTGTCTTCTTTTCTTTCCTCCTTTTATTTTATTTTATTTTTTTGAAGCAGGGTCTCATGTAGCCCAGGCTGGCCTCCGATTCCCTCTCTAGTCAAGGATGGGCCTTGAACGGATTTGTCTGTCTTCTCGGAGGCTGAGGGGAGAGAGGACGGGCACGCGCCGCCTCGCCTGCTGTATTTAATGCTGGCCATGGAACCCGGGGCTTCGTGCATGCTGGACAAGCTCTACAGCAGCCGGGCTTCTGTGGTTTCTCCCGCTTCTAAGGGGAAGATCCCAGGAAAGCCCACAAGTGTGAGACCTTGGTAACGGGTCCTCATGGCAACGTGAGGAATGAAACCAAGATTTCAGCTTTTCTCAGAGACAGCTGGGGAGCCTCGTCTCCTCCACAATTCATTTAATATATATATATATATATATATATTTTTTTTTTATTTTGCCTCCGCCTAGCAAGAAGGGAGTCCCGCCCGGGAACCCCCAGAACAGCCGTGCGTCAGGCCCGGACCTGGGGTGTTCTGTGCACCCTCGTAACTCTAAAAACTCAAGAAAATCAGGAGACTCAGTCACCCCGTGTGCAAATCCAGGGGTCTAAGCAGATTCCACCCTAAAATCGAGGATACCCTTACAGGGTACAGCCGTAGACTGGGGACGGCTGCCCTCTGCTGGACACAATGGGGACTGCAGGGCGATGGGCGAAGCGGGTGGGCAGCAGGCGTCCGGGCTCGCACAATAAATAAATACAGGTGAGATTTAAACCCTGGGCGTGGCGGCACTTGCTTGTAGTCTCAGCCCTGTGGAGGCAGCAACAGGAGGTCCTGAGGTCCCCACCCGGCCGGACTAGCCTAACCTACAAGCTCCAGGTCCCAGTGAGAGACCCTGTCTGAAAAAGCAAGGTGAGGGGCTGGAGAGAAGGCTAAGAGAGCTTGAGGTTGTTGCAGAGGCCCTGAGTTCGGTTCCCTGAAGCGCATGGTGACTCCCAACCCTGTGACTCCAGCTCCAGGGGACTCGACGCCCCTCCACGGGCAACTGCGCTCCATGCACACGCCCCAGCACAGACAATCTCTACACATTTTTTTCCCTCGAAACAGGGTTTCTCCATGTAGCTCTGGCTGCCCTAGAACTCATTCTGTAGACCAGGCTGCCCTTGAACTCACAGAGATCCGCCTGCCTCTGCCTCCGAGTGCTGGGATTAAAGGTGTGGCCACCACCAGGCCACAAAGTTAAAAATGATGAAAATAAATCTTGCCTGGCGAAACCCTGTTTCAGAAAAAAAAAAAAGAAAAAAAGCAAGTATGGACAGAGGGGTGGTCAAGGGGTGATCAAGGCTTGCATAGGACAGAGTGACCCGAATACTCTGTGGCTCGGCTTTGCCACTGAAAGGTGAGGCTTGCAGACCCACGCCAGCCCGGCAGCAGCAACGGCACCGGTGGGTAGTGGACAGGTCTGTGTGTGAGGTAGCTGTCGGTCTGCACACACTGGCTGACGGACCCGGTAGCAGCCCCTGGTGCCGAGCCTGGAGGAGTAGACGCCAAGGTGGGGATCACCTGGAAGCAGAGGTGTGGGATGGGGTGAGGCAGCAGGCTATTGGTGGAGGAATGAGGGCCCATGGGGGAAGGGAGGGCAGGATCGGCCGTGGAAGGTGGAGAAGGAAGAGACGGAAAAAAATGGAGGACAAGGAGATGGAGGGGGAATAGAGGAGAAGGCAATACGAGTGGAGGGGGTGGGAGGAGGGGGTGGGAGGAGGGGGTGGGTGGAGGGGCTGGGTGGAGGGGTGTTTGGAAGAGGTGGTGGAGTTAGTGTTTGTGGAGGTGACAGGGAAGAACCGGGCTTAGACTGAGGTTGCCTCTCGGGTGGAGACGGAGCCACACCAATCCACAGCCTGTGGCTGGGGCGTGGCTAGCCTGGTGGGTAAGTCTGAGGCCCTCCTTGCACTTCCCTCTGCCCGGATCCAGGCTCAGTTTCTACTGCATGGAAACGGCTCAGACCGGGGCTTGGGTCGGCCCGGGGCCTCATCTCCGCCCTCTTTGGCCGTGGGAGATGGACAGTGGGACACTGGCCGTACAAAGAGCAGCCTGGACCCGTGTCTGTGTGGACAGGTGTCGTCAGACTGAACACAGGGGAAGGGGCAGTGGCTTCATGCTGCCGTCCATGAAGAAAGGGCCTTTTGTTTCTTTCAAGACTTCTGTGGCTGGCCACTCCCCAGCCTTGGCTTGTGAGTCCACTTTTGCAACTCCAAGAGGACCCACACCTTCCCCACCTCCCAGGTCTGTCCTGTCGACTGACGGTCCCTGGCTGGGCCTCTCTAAGTCCGTGACTTATCTTCTCTGTGTAAATAAAAAGAAAATTTTATTGTAAGGACAGAGTAACAGAGCCACAGAAAACTTTTGACATGAAGACCTTGTGTGGTCTGAAATCTGTCCTTCTGTCCCTGCGAACAGTCTAGGAGTAGATCGTTAGGTTCGGGAAGGTGGGTGGATGGATGGATGGATGGATGGATGGATGGATGGATGGATGGATGGGTGGATGGATGGGTGGATGGATGGATGGATGGATGGATGGATGGGTGGATGGGTGGATGGATGAATAGATGGGTGGATGGATGGATGGATGGATGAGTGGGTGGGTGGATGGGTGGATGGATGGATGGATGGATGGATGAATAGATGGGTGGATGGATGGATGGTGGATGGATGGATGGATGAATAGATGGGTGGATGGATGGATGGTGGATGGATGGATGGATGAATAGATGGGTGGATGGATGGATGAGTGGGTGGATGGATGGGTGGATGGATGAGTGGGTGGGTGGATGGATGGATAAATGGGTGGGTGGGTGGGTGGATGGATGGATGAGTGGGTGGGTGGGTGGGTGGATGGATGGATGAGTGGGTGGGTGGGTGGGTGGATGAGTAGATGAATGGATGGGTGGGTGGGTGGACTTTCACTGGAATTTAAAAGCTGGGTTGTTGTTATGCCCCTCACCTTGCTGACTCTAAGGTCCTCATCCAGGCATGAACACCTGGTGTCCTATAACCATGGAGCACAGTCAAATCCCGAAAAGCCTCTGGCAAGAGCAGCTCCTTTTTTGTCCATCCCCCTGCTCCACCCCAACCGTGCAGCCTTTGCCAAATCTATATGCACATATGTGGGGCTCAGGATGGAAAGCGGGGCCTCACCATGCAGCTTGCCTAAGGTGACCGTCAATATTAATTGTCCACTTGCAGCAATTCAGAGCCACCGGGGAGGGTCGGTGTAGATCGGGGTAGCTGTGGGCGAGTCTGAGAGGGGGCATCTTTGTGTTTTATTGTTGTCCTTTGTTGGAGACAGGGTCTTTGTATTATGTAGCCCTGGCTGTCCTAGAACTTGCTCTGTAGACCAGGCTGGACTTGAACTCACAGAGATCCTCCTGCCTCTGCTTCCTCCTCCTGAGCGCTGGGATTAAAGGCGTGCGCCAACATGACCAGCCAAGGGGTTTTCTCTGTTGTCTTGTTACCTTAGATGGGAAGATCCTTTCTTTGTGCACGCCACCAGTCGGGGGTTTGAGTGAAGGAGGCATGGGGCCTGGAGAGGGCTCAGTGGTTTAAGAGCACCTGTCTGTTGTTCTGCAGAGACTGGGATTCGCTTCCCAGCACCCACATTGGGCAGCTCACAGCTGCCTCTAACTCCAGCTCCAGGGGACCTGACGCCCCTTTCTGGCCTGGGCAGGCTTTGCACACACACACACATGTGCACTTAAAAATAAAATAAAAGTTTAAAAAGAAGGAGTGGAAACAGCCAGCTTCGTTCAAGCAAGCGTGCGAGCCAGGTAATCATGAACTTGGATTCCCTCAAGTTTATTTTTGTCAGGGTATTTTATCACAGCCGCAGAAACGGATCTCAGAGCTCTCTCTCTGCCGCGGCTCCTAGTCCTGGTGCGTCTGTCCGTCCGCACACGTGCGTGTGAGGTCCAGGGCCGCTTCAGCCCCTCTCCACCGTCTCTGTTCTGATTTCATGCGTTTGAGAATTCCGCCTGCAGGCCCGGCTGTGCACCTCATGGGTTCCCGGCCGCCTCAGAGGTTAGAGAGGGTGGCGGATCCCCTGGGACTGGAGTTACAGCTGACTGTGAGCTGCTGTGTGTGTGCTGAGAACCGAACCCGGGTCCTCCGCGAGCACAGCCAGGGATGTGACCACTGAGCCGTCACCCCAGCCCTGATCCACCTTAGAGTCTCATCGACTCGGCCAAGCTGGCTTGCCCATGAACTCCTGGGACGAGCGTGTCCCCTCGTCCTCAGCACACCTCCATACCAAGCCTTTCACCTGGGTTCAGGGGATTCGAACTCGGGTCCTCCTGCTTAGACAAGAAGGACATACTGACTGAGTTGTCTCCTGACCCCCAAAGCCCACCCAGCCCCAAGTCGATTCTCCATATACTTAGAAATCAGTCTTTTTGGCTGCTTATGGTTCGATCATGGTTTCTGTGAATGGTGTCCTAGGCTGAGCCACGAAGACTGTTCGGATTGCATTTCTTTCTTTCTTTTTCTTTCTATAGGGCATAGATTTTTTTTAAAAGATTTTATTTTTTATTTATTTTGTATATGGTGTTCTGCCTGCCTGTGTCGCTGCAGGCCATAAGAGGGCACCAGATCTCATTACAGATGGTTGAGAGCCACCATGTGGTTGCTGGGGATTGAACTCAGGACCTCTGGAAGAGCAGCCAGTGCTCTTAACCTCTGAGCCATCTCTCTGGCCCAGGATCGCATTTCTTTTTGTAAAACTCTCTGCAGACCCTAGAGCCACTTGCGGCCATGCCAGCTCCTTAGACACTCCCAAGCAGCACCAACTCATTAAGACTTTTGGAACTAGGGGCTGGAGAGATGGCTCAGTGGTTTGGAGCACTGACTGCTTTTCCAGAGGACCCAGGTTCAATTCCCAGCACCTACATGGCAGCTCACATCTGTCTGTAACTCCAGTTCTAGGGCTTCTGCAGCCCTCACACAGACATACATGCAGGCAAAACACCAATGATCATAAAATAAAAATAAAGTTCAAAAAATTTCAAAAAAAGACTTTTGGAAACCATATCAGGCAGTGGTGGCACACACCTTTAATTTAAAGATTTGTTTTGTTTTGGTTTATTGAGACAGGGTATCTCTGTGTAGCCCTGCCTGTCCTGGAACTCTCTCTGTAGACCAGGCTGGCCTTGAACTCAGAGATCCGCCTGCCTCTGCCTCCCGAGTGCTGGGACTAAAGGCGTGCGCCACCACCACTGCCTGGCTCTCATTTTTGATTATGTGTGTATATGAGTGTGTCTCTGTGTGTGCCAATTCCAAAAAAGGCCAGAAGAGGGCAGAGGGCGGAGAACCGCCTGGAGACGCAGTTCCAGATGAGCAGCCCGATGTGGTTTCTGAGAATTGGACTTGGGTCCCTGCAAGAGCAACAAGTTCTATTAAGCACTGAGCCTCCTCCAGCCCCATCCTCGGAATGTTTTGTCTCCCAGCTTCCGAGGACCCCCAAAGCCACCCTGATTCTGGACCTTTGCTTTTCGGAAGCTTTAGGAGTTGTCTGTCTATTCTTGGCGTCCTGAAATGCCACAGAGATGTGTCTGTCTGTTTCCATTCGTCCACGAGACGCATATTCTTCAGTCCTGGTGTCTTCAGTGATAAAAACTTCAACAAAGCCCCTCAAGGGAGAAAGGGTGTGCTTGGTGACGGTCGCAGGTTCATGAGGGGAAGTGAAGTTGTGGAGGCTTGGGGAGATGCTCACACTGTATCCACAG